TCTAATAAAAAGGTTCCTCTCTGATTTCACGTATATATAGAACAAGGGAAATCTATACGTTTGTGAAACGCTCCGAACGAAAGGGAAATGGTTCGAAGATGGACACTAGGGACTGACGGAAACTTCCGTAACTGATGGATCGTGATGGAGTGGTTAGCTCTCATCTCTTCTCGAATATCATATCACATAGAATCGTTCTTCGTTTCTCTATGACTCTAAAAAATTGTTGGACATTAAAAGATATATAACTATATATACAGAGAGAGAGAGAGAGAGAGAGAGAGAGGAATAAGAGAAAAAAGTATGACCGAACTTGCGTCAGTTGTTAAGTCACGTTACTAGATGATTATTCCACGGATTTCAATAGCGAATCCGCAGTATGGACTGAAAAACTCTCATATCTAAGCCTGGAGCTATACGAGTTATTGTTAGTCGCAGTCTATTCGTAAAAAAAAAAAGAAAGAAAGGAAAAAGAGAGAGAGAGAGAGGGAGAGAGAGAAAGAGAGAAAATATTTGAGCTGCTGAATGATCTCTCATAAGGAATATCTCTAGATGATTGTGAAAAAGGTAGACGTATCGCTCAAGTACGTTCTCATGTTATCTATCTTTCTTGTCACTCTAATGCGTATATACGTGTATTATATCTCATGTTGACAAAAAATTACGGGAACTTTTTAAAAACTTCATATATACGTCGATATATCTATATATATGAACGTGTATCCTATGCAAATACAAAAGTATATATTGACCATTCGTTTGGAAACGTGACAAAAATATATAAAATGAGATAATATTGTAATAAATGAATTTGCTGCCTTTCTCTCTCTCTCTCTCTCTCTCTCTCTGCGTGTGTCTTTTTCTCTATTCCCCGTCACTGGTTCAATGGACAGCGACAGTCAATACATAAAAGCATCGTAAATTGTACTTTATCGTATTAAGCTAGATCCGATCAAATTATAGGCTTTCACGTCGAAATTGAGAAAAGGAGCCTCAACCCTGCGTCAAACGATACTGCAATTATCTCTTTCATTCTCTTTATCTATCTGCATCATAAAATTATTTCTTTTATCATTAATTACAATCCCATTTTATTGTTATCGATATCAATTATAACGATATATCGATCAGTTGTAATCGTTAATGTAATTATAATAATTCTACGTATTAGGTAATGTTTTATTTTTGTTTTTCTGAAAGAATCAATAATTTATTTTTTCAAGCTCTTCTATCCGAATAACTTTGTAAATAGGAAAGGGAGGGAAAAAAAAATAAAGAAGAGAGAAAGTCTTATTTGCACATGGCGTTAAATTGTCAAACGTATTGGCGAAAGGCAAAGAGCTAGAAAAATCCGATTCAATGGCCGCATTTAAAGCTCGCACGTGAAAAAAGAAAACACGTATGTAGGATGGACGGACACAAACACAGAAAGAGAAAGAGAGAGAGAGAGAGAGAGAAAGAGAGAGATACATGAACAGTTACGATGAAGCCTCTCTCGTAGACTATAAATCTAAAATCCGTAAATTACTTTTCCACGTAAGCTGGCGGTACTTAGAGACACGGCATAAAAAGTCATATAGTTGAGAGAATAAAAGAGAATCTAAAAGATAAGCGATATCGTTTGTAGCATTCACTCCTTTCTCTCTTTTTCTCTCTCTCTTTCTCGCACCCCTCGCTCCCCCCCCCCTTCTCCCCCCATTATAATATACCTATGAACTTTAGTAATTTTGAAAACTTTAATAGAGAATACGATGGCGTCATTAATAAAATGTAGAAAACTCAAAGCTCGCAAGTTAAAATTATTACACGAAATGAAATTTTCGTGCTAGAAATCGATCTGGCCCGTTTCCGGGGTTCTTTTATAAGGAAGATAAATCGGGTATCCGAAAACAAAGAAGATAAAATGATCCGAGGTGGAAAAGAGGAAGCATCGTCCATTACACCTAACATATAGGATATATACACTATCTAACATATATAATGCAAACATAGATACATATGTACATACATATACTTTCTCGTACTCTCCTTTCGAACTTCCTCGTTTAACGAACATTTTAATTGCACTATCTTCGTTCGAAACTTTCTCGAAAATAATATTAGAGATTACGTTCTTCCTTCGTTTATAGAGAGTAAACATGTCTGACGTTGCACATTTAAAAAAATTAACAAAATTTTAACATTAATGAAAAATGCAACGCTTTGTAGTATCTATAACGTATTGCTTCGAACTTACTTTCTTTCTTTCTTTTCTCTTCTTTTGTCTTTTCTTTTTTTTTTTTTTTTTTGGCGTTTCCTTTCGTAACATTTGCAATACAATTATGACGTCAATACTTAGGGCAACGTTTTTCCCCCTCGATGGAAATGACAGTTTGCAAAAAGTCGACAACTTTCCAGACCATTTAGTCGCGCCTATATTTTCTCTTCGATACAGAAGCGATAATGGTGACGCAACCCCTTCCGTAAGCATTCATTCGTATAATAATTAAGCGACCATTAAAAGCCCTTGCGTAGGTATAGCAACGCGTGATAGCGCTTTATGTTGCCGATTCAGCAAGCTATGGGCAATTTGTTACGCGTCTGTGCTCTGCAATATCTAATTAGATAACATGATCGCGAGAGTCACGTACATAGACAGAGAGAGAGAGAGAGAGAGAGAGAGAGAGAGAGAGAGAGAGAGTGGGGTAGAAGGAGGAGAGAAAGAGACGATTTCGAACGTTCTAAATACAAACGAACCATCTAGGTGTACACAGACACATACGCGCGTGTCGTGCACAGTTAATGGCTAATTGTTGCATACACGTCATCCGCATTACATAATACATCATCAGCATTTCCCTAATTAGTCATAGTTAATGCAACCTTATGTGGTTCCCAAGCAAGCCAAGAAAGCCATACACAGTCCCTTTCCTATTTGATATCGTTCAAATTGAAATACTACATCGAGGGTATCGGTGGAGACACCACCCAAAGGAATAGTTTACTATTATCACAAAGACGTGCAATCGACTACCGATCCTTCAACTTCCACTTACACATTATATATTATACGACGTTATTGCGTGTTCTCGATCACTAATCATCATAGAAACGATGTAGATATATGCGAAGAAATTATTGACGAGCGTTTTTGATTAAAATCGTATTTAAAAAAAAAAAAAGAAAGAAAGAAAAAGAGAAAATAAATGAGAGAGAGAGAGAGAGAGAAAAGAAGAAAAAAAGGAAAAAGATTTATTTCCATGTAATTATTATTACGATTAGAACGTATGTTATTTACTAAAGAGAATATCTCTTAACCATAAAACGTTATCGCCAAAGCAAAGGTCTCCGTTTCCGCTAAGCACCGATTTTAGGAGAGACATTCAAATCTCGAGAGCAGTGTCATATTCGTTAACCCGATCGGCTCAGTTTATTCCTCCCGCAATAATTATCGTTAGGATACGCTGTTCCGTTTCAATATGCGAGTTCTACCGGTAATGATAATTCGTACCTAACACTCCTATAATCGTCTTTCAAATGTGGATAGCTTATATCTACGTTATATGCATGTACATATATATATATATATATATATATATATGTATATATATGAGATACCTATACAGCTAATGGCAAAGTTTCCTGTGATCAACTGTTCAAACTGATTGGGAGGTTATCTCTTACTGGTTGACCACAGTGCACAGTGATAACACAAACATTCTCTCTCTCTCTCTCTCTCTCTCTCTCTCTCTCTCTCTCTCTTCTTCTCGTGATAATCCTACCCGACACGATGTGACCACCTAAGCTCTTTGCTTTTAGTTTCATGCGAATTTAACATGATATCTCTCTTTCTTTCTCTCTCTTTCTCTCTCTTTCTCATTCGTCCTGCCAGTTTCTCTCGTCCAAGCACTCACTCCCGTAAATTCTTCAAAATCAATGATATTATTACGAATTATATAAAGCGAACGTTAATAACGAATCATCTGATAAATTATACGTCATCAAAATACATCCCGATTGGAATTTCAAGCCGTGATAGGTATACGTGCGGATAGATTTACCGATGTCGAGATAATGCTGTTCCCAGACATAACAATTGTAACGCTTGACTAGACGAGCGTAGTTATTAGCGAGGGAGAAATTTCAATTATATATCTTCTATGTATTTCCTTATTTTTGTAATTTTGTGAAAAAAATTAAAAAAAAGAAAAAAAAAAAGAAGAAAGAAAAGAAATCGCAATACATGAAAAAAACATGGAATAAGGATTCGACTCGGTAGAATAAGAGATAAAAGAAGTGAAGTCATTCTCGTTGAAAAGAGAACCACGCGATTAGCTACTTTCGAGCGTAATTACCTCTCAATTCGAGTCGCTATCATCTCGAGCACGTTCAAACTCGAGGTTAGCGGGAAGTAAGGAGGAACATCTCGAGCACTCCTTCCGGCCTTTTTATGAGAATTCTCCGCGCTCGGCCGGACGCCAAGTGGCAACCAAGTCAAACGAGTTGCTCTCTTGCACGCAAATGCGATAGAGATAGAATAGGATAGAGAAAGAGATAGAGAGAGAGAGAGAGAGAGAGAGAGAGAGAGAGAGAGAGAGAGAGAAAATGAGAATACAAACAAATTAAATGCCGCCGATCGTAAATCCGAACGTTGTAAGAGGAACGAGTCACGTCACGGTTAAGAGCTACGCCCTCGGGGTCGGACCTTCCATGAGGGGTTGAGCGTTTAATTAATCGGGTCCTCCCGGCGACGTCTTAAAACGATTTGCCGCTTTAAGCTTCGAGAGATCGATCAGGGAGAAAAGCTCGTTTCGCGATGGATATTGATTATTATAAAATAACTCTCGAGGTCGGTGATCAATCTCGAACGATATCAAACAAATTTGCTTACACGATCGCGAGAAACTCTATTCCTTTTTCCATCCCTCGTTCTTCCTTCCTTTTTCCCCTCCTTTTTTTTCCTTTCCTTTTGTTCATTTTTTCTTTTTTTTTTCTTTTTTTTTTTTTTTTTTTTTCTTTACCGAGGATCTTACCACGAATGTCACGCAAATGTCCTTCGGATTTTCATTCGACTTTCGATCGGATTAAAGTCGTTGAGCGACGTTAACACCGAACGTAACCACCGTGCATCAGCATTTTACAAGCGAACGTAAACTATCCTACCGCGAGTAACCTCAAAACCAATATTTGCAATGAAAGCTCGATACAATGTTCCAATGTTAACGGTGTCCACGCTCCGAGACTAAATACCCATCGTATATATATATATATATATCCGTATCCCAGAAGGGTTTGTTCCTCGAGAAAACACACACATGTATTACCTACCTACCTACCTATTTCTCGTCTTGCTTCTCCCTCTCTCTCTTTCTCTTTAATTCGCTTAACTTCTTTCGTAAACACATATAAAATACTTGTACGTTATTCATAAAATTTGTTTTCACAGTGCATTTTCTACATTAATACTTTTCATTATATTTCGTATTAACTATTTTGTAAACGTTATCGAAGAAAACATTACGAATGACGATAAAGAAACATATTTATATAGGAAAAAAATTCGTGAAAGCATACCAAATGGTTTAACTCTTACGTTAGAAAACTTATAAAAGGGTGAAACAAAATGGAAAACATTGCCGATCGTTTCTTCGTGCTCCATTTCGCGTTAAAAAGTTCAAACTCCGAGAAAAATATCGTGGAACACCTGATTCGACATCGACGCGGCTCGATATCCTTTCGTGAACTTTTCAAGTCGTACGAATTCGATTGGACTGCTTTACTTTCGGATCTTTTCTCATAGCCAGATACTAACTTAACTTTTCTCGAGATGCTACATTTTGTTATCTCGTGCCTTGGATACTTTACTTTTACATTGCCACACACATACACATATATATATATATATATATATATATATATATATAGATATACATATTTATATATCTACAAGCTACAATCCATCTTGCTCCAAGGAAACGTGAAGAATTTACAACGTTTACGACGGATTTATAGTGTTCCTTAAACCTGTAAATATACGTAGATATAATTGAAAAAATATAAGACGTAATATACCTTCGTCAATTATTCGTTTCAATCGCAGATCTAGTAATAAATTATATAGCTTTCGACTTTACAAGATATTTATATATGTACTAAACTTGTCGTTGTCTGTCGGCTCGGTTGAATATTTTCTCTTGATTGTTTTGCCAATATCAGATTATATGAGAATCGACGTAATAACTAATGCGTAATAATTTCGAAATACAGCGGAGTTATTTCAACGATGGATACACTTGACTCGTTGGCGTATTAAAGTTAAATGAGGGGAGATACGTAGATACGGCTAGAGATTACGGAGGTAAGAGAAAAAAAAAAAAAGAAAAAAGAAAAATAAATAAAGAAAAAGAAGATAAGCGAGAAAGTTTTGTTTACTACGTTCTTTGAACGTTCGTTACCTTCCAATGTCAAACAGTGTGTGAGACTACGTCTGTGAGTATAGAGAGGCAAAGACCGAGTGAGAGAACGATAGAGCGAGAGAGAGAGAGAGAGAGGGAGAGTAGATCAATATCACCGAAGGTGATATAGGTAAACATAGTTTACCACTATCGTTCCTGTTTTCCTTCTCGCGAAAAACTACGAGACCCCTTGTTATCATTTCATTCGTGTCTCTGTAACTAAAGAAACTCTGTTTTATAATTCATTCGTATCGTTTCTCTATTCTCTTCCCCGTTAAAAATACTTTCTCGATCGTGTTCCTCTTTCTTCCATTATTCTTCCAGAATTTTCATAGGAGTTTTCTTGAACAATAACGAAACGTCTGTCTCTTTTCCCTCGGCTCATTTTTTCGTTTTCTACCCTTCCTCTTTGAAGACTGTCATAGAAAGTTTTTCTAACGAAAAAGAAAAAAGAAAAAAAAAAAAAAGAAAAAAGAGAAAGAAAATTCTTCCGTTCAAAAATCGATTTGATTTTTTTTCCCTTTCTTTTTTCGTTTTGCATTAGTACCGAGAAAAAATTGTTGAAATTAAAATTGATAAACGACGACGACGACAACGACGACGACAAGAGAGTCCAGTTTAAAGAGAGCATTCTTTTATCTAATTTTCTTCATCCTTATTACGTAGAACCTCTTACCTACTAATTACTTTTTCCCCCGCAAACGATCCTTACGATATCTATATCTCGTTGGGAATAAAAGCGAGCTTCAGTGTAAAAGGATTTTATCTTCAACGTGGACACAATATATACTTTTGAAGTAAAGGTATAAACTTTAAGTAGAACTTCCAAGAAAACTGACAGATACGTATTCGTTATGGTGAACTTGTAAAAATGATCACGTCTCACTTTTCTCTCCACAAAGAAATAATGAATTATCTTTCGAAATAAAATCTATATTTTCACATCTCTTTTATATTTCTTCACATTTGCTTTTTATTTATCGCAAATAAAAAGTCACTTTTTCTAATAGAACATTCGGAACAAGATAAATATGTCTGATAATATATCGGAAATCTGTCGAGAGTCGTAACTTCGCCTTGAAATCACGTTAAGAGCTTAGTTAAAAGAAAAAAGGGGGACTTTTATTAGTTTACGATCAACCCTATCACTATGTATCGATATATCGAGAGAAAATCTTTACCTTTTCGCGTAACGTAGTAATCTCCAAAATATATAAAAGAATATACACTTTTGTCGGGTCGAAGATGGCCTCTGGTTAAAAATTAAGAAGAAGAAAAAAAAAGAAAAAAGAAAAAGCGACTACTAAAAGTAATCAACTTTTTTTTTACAATTGTGCAAAAATAGCGCACATCTTCCTACCCCACATGAAAATAACACGACTCGTGCTCGATCTAACGATGAGAGATTTACGATATTAAGATTATTCCTCGTCCAACGGGTTGCACCCGATCGATTTTCGATAACTAATATTCGTCTAACTCGGTCGAATCCGTAGCGCGTATTGCACGAGTAAGCGAGTCGTGAAACGAAGAAAATAAAGAAAAGGGACGCGATAAGACCTAGATCCGGCATTGAAGGGAACCGGCAAATTACGATGAAAACTGTAAAAGAAGGTAGTAGCTGGATAGAGCAGACGGTTATAGCAACGCAACGTAACAAGTGGATGCATCTGTTGCATTTCTCTGGTTTAAGTGCTGCGAAACATTTGACTACTTGGCCCGGTTCCAATTGGCACCCTGTCAGGCGTAACGAAATTCATGGAACAACCCCGTAACCACCACTCTTCTCCTCTAATTCTTATTTCTTCTCTTCCATAACGTCATTTTTCTACACCTATTCATGCTCCTGAATAATTTATTTATTCGCCTCGTAACGACCGTACTTGGATTTCCCTTTGGTGAAGTGTGAAAGGGTCGCGGTTTGTAGATCTTAAACGGGCACAAGCAACACTCGAGACAGAATGAATAAAATCGATAGGCAAAACGATGATGATAATAAATGGATTTAAAAAGATAGAGAGAAAAATTACGTGCGAAAGAGGAACGGTCTTTTTGAAAACGGAAGAATAGAGGAGGGAGGGAGAAAATAGAGAGATAGAGAAACAGACATATGGAGAAATAAAAATTCAATGGAAAATAAGAAAAGGAAAATAGTCCATTAAATTCTTTTTATACAACGAGAATAAAAACGTGGTGAAAGGGACATGAAGTTTTCTCGGGTCTTAATAGGGAGAGAAAAAAAAGAGAAGAAATTAATTGGTTGGCAGAGACAAAGGTAAAAATCGAGCAGATCGAAAGAAATTCAAATATGTCATTTCGTTATAGCTTTGTTACTCTCTATGTCAGTACTATAATATTATTAGTACGAAATTACAAGTTAATTTGCCGCTCCAACGTTTTATTCATCTCTATGAGATAGATATGAACATAGAAAGTGAGAGAGAGAGAGAGAGAGAGAGAGAGAGAGAGAGAGAGAAATAGGAATAGGTAGATAGAAGAAAATGGAGAAATGGAAAGAGAAAGAGAAAGAGAGAAAATGCAAAATTTCCTAAAATGATAATTTACATCTTGATTTATAACGGCGAGGAAGGTAAAATGACAAGAACATAACGCATACATATAATAGAGAATGCTCTAAAATACGAATCTTTAGGAATATTTATACAACGACCGCTAATGCGTGCCGTGGACTGTGAAAAGAGATACGAATATAATTTGTTTAAAAAGCTCGGACCTCGACCTTAATTAATTCTTCCCGCTTACGTAATATATATGTAAATACATGTATTGCAAACATATATACGTACGTAAACGTGGATATATAGGTTTATGTATATAATATATGTATATGTATAATATATATATATATATATATTTATATATATATACATGCACGCACATATATAAACAGCACATAAATATGTCACATGAGCTTGTACCATGCATCAACCGTATCGGCATGCAGAGTTTGAGGACGTATACATTCTCCCACATCCTCTACATCAACGGGTAACACCCCGTATCATTCATGATTTACACCTACTGCTTCCTGCCATAGTATAAGGTATACGCGCGTACAAAGAGAAAATGAGATGGGGAATGAGTATGCTCTAGAAAGAACGTGAACACAAAACTAAAATTCCTTGGATAACGTCACTTGATGTTTTCTACGTACCAAGTTTTATTTTATTGTTTTGAAAAGTATTAGAAATCCTCTCCCTCTCTTGCTCCCTTTATTTTTTTCCGTTTGAAAATATTAATAGAGTAATAGTAATAAATAAATAAATTAATAGTAAAAAGTTGATTAAAAAAAAAAAAGATATCGTCAAATGAAAAATGACATTTTACCGTGTAAAATATCGAATACTTTAAAAGATCTAATTCGGTAAATTGAAGATCAGGGTCGCATCGGAAGTAACATTCGACATAGGCCTAGAACAACGAGTTAGAATTTGACTTTCGACAATCTCTTTCCTTATTTCCACGGATAAGCTGGCCTAAATGTTCAGCGAAAGGTAAACTTTCGAATCCATTCACCTTTGTGTCTGAATTGAATTCGACGTAAGGGGGAAAGCAAATTAGGCGATCAACGAGATGAGATAAAGTAAAATAAATGAGGTTTTTCTTTGATCATTTTCACAGTTTATTAAATTTCACGCACGAACGATTGAGAAATTGAAATTGGGAATTAAAGTAAACGCGATTCAAATAACGCGACTCGATGAAAATCGGCGCTAAATAGAAAATTAATCCTGACGGTAGAACGAACGCAAAATTGGGCTCGGGGCACGCGTCTCGTCTAATATCTGCCACACAAAAGCCGCGGTAATTTCATTAGGGCGAGCCTACGGAATTCCAAGCACGAAAAGATATATCTAAGCTACGTGCTACTGGTACTCGAGAATTCTCATATATTTCATCCATCTTCCTGGATCCATCAAAGCAAATCACTCGAAGTACTCTTAGATACGATAATGAATCGTTATAACGAAGGAGAATCCTCTATTAGATGAATAATCGTATAAACTAATATCTTTTAAGATAGTTATATCTATACGCAAGGTCACGTTATTTTATAATACTTTTGATTTAAATAAATGTTTTCAACAATGTACGAGACATATAAAAATTTGAATCGTCGGATTTGAATCAATTTATCGTCTACGATTCGAGATAACGCTTGAAGAAGGTTAAATATTTTTTTGAAATATTTGTTCAACGATCTTCATATTCATAAGTTTCTTCGCAGAATGGACACGTGAGAGAGGAAATATATTTTCCGCGCTCGTAGAAAAGAATAAGATTTCTTTCCATCCGACCGCGCTCGAATGTTGTAAGCTTTATTGTAAGATATATATTCGACGGCCAAACGCTTCAAGCTTGTGCGTTTTTACACGAATAGCACGAACTCTTTTCCGTATTATCGAAATCTCTCAATTTCGTACGATATATATGTCAATATTTCTAAACGACTTTTATAAGCTCCGAGGAAACACGTTTTTATTTGAAAATATTTTACGACTATCATTGAAAGAAATCGTATAGTCACACGTTTTCTATAATAATAGTAGTAATAAGGAAAAAGAAAAGAAAAAAAAAAGAAAGAAAGAAAACAGAAAGAAACGAAGGAAACAAAAAAATGCAAATAAAAAGGGAGAGAAATTCAAATCGAATAAACCTACGTTTTAAGATACGATTCGTCATTCGTTTCATCGTGAGTTTTTTCAAATGGATTTTAAGGATATAAAAGGAAAAAGAGAAAGGAAAGAAAAAAAGAAAAAAGATATAATCCAAAAATCCTTTATAATTCCATCGGCGTAAAATTATCTTTCCCTCATACCCTGTTATCCATATCGACTACG